CTGGGATTTATTTACCTTCTATGGCTGTCACTGGAACTGAGAGCCGGCTTTAGCTCTGAGGCTCAGCTCCAGCTCTGAGACCTCGGCTGCTGAAAGCAGGTATCTGGTTTGTTTGGCTTCTATAATTGAAACACTGTTGCAACTCCAGCTCAGCCCGCTGGCTGAAAGCATGGGTTTTGTTTAGCTTCTATAATTGCAACATTGTTTCTTAGAGTGCAGCTCAGATGCCGGCAGCAGTAGGCAGGGAACCTTGGCTTCCTCCTTCACTGGAGCAAGCAAGCCTCCTGTTCGCTTCAGCTGCCTGGCTGCCGGCTGCCATCTTGGTTGGCAGTTAATTTGCATATCACCCTGATTAGCCAATGGGAAGCATGTTGGAGGTACGGTTAATTACCATGTTTGTCTATTATTAGATAGGATACTAGAGGGCTGGTGCATGAATTCGTGCTTGGGTGGAGTCCCTAGGCCTGGCCGGTGATCAGGGGTGATCAGGGCTGGGCCAATCGGGGCCTGCCGGCCAGGGGCAAAACAGGGGGAGGGACTGCGGGCCAAAGGCCCCAGGCTGGGTTGGGAGAGGAGGCGACTATCATCTGGCCAGGCATGAAAGGAACAGATGCTGGACATGATGCCACTGGCCAGCCATGGGAGGTTGGCTATGGGAGTGCACTGACCACCAGGGTACAGCTCCTGAGTTGAGCGTCTGCCCCCTGATGGTCAGTGCATGTCATAGTGACCAGTCGTTCAGGTCGTTCGGTTGTAACGGTCGCTGAGGCTTTTTTATATATATACTAGAGGCCCAGTGCACAAAATTCGTGCATGGAGAGGGGGTTGTCCCTCAACCCAGCCTGCACCCTCTCCAACCTGGGACCCCTGCAGAAATGGGCCTAAACCGGCAGTCAGATATTCCTCTCACAATCCTCCGGGACCGGCTCCTAACCGCTCACCTGCCTGACTGCCTGCTTAATCCTAACCACTTCTGCCTGCCAGCCTGATTGACGCCTAACTGCTCCCCTGCCGGCCCAATTGTCCCCAACTGCCCTCCTCTGCTTACTTGATCCCACTAAGTGCTCTCCCCTGCTGACCTGATCTCCCCTGCCAGCCTGATCACCCTAAATGCTCTCCCCTGCTGGCCTGATTGCCCTAACTGCTCTTCCCTGCCAGCCTGATCGCCCCTAACTGCCTCTGCCTTGGCCCCACCACCATGGCTTTGTCTGGAAGGATGTCTGAAAGGTCTCCTGGAAGATGTCCGGTCTAATTAGCTTATTACCCTTTTATTAGTATACTAGAGGCCCAGTGCATGAATTCATGCATGGGTGGGGTCCGGCTGGCCTGCCCCAATTGGGGCCAATTAGGGAGGGGCCATGGGCCATCAGCCAGCGGGCCCCACCCGCGATCGGGGTGGGAGGGGCCAATCCGGGCCACAGTTCACGTCAAAGCTACCGGTTGTTCTGGTCGTTCGGCGTTCTGGTCACTTGGTTTTTATATATATACTAGAGGCCCGGTGCACAAAAATTTGTGCACTGGGGGGGGGGGGGGGGGGGGCCCCAGCCTGGCCTGGGCCCTCTCACAGTCTGGGACCCCCCGGGAGATAACGCCCTGCTGGCTTAGGCCTGCTCCCGGGTGGCAGAGGGCACGCCCAATCCCTAGGTGCAGCCCCTGGTCA